TATTTATGTATCATGCAATTGAATGTATGTTCAGGCACTCAAAAACTGAACTTCAGTGTTTTCTGATTTATTTTTACTTTTTCTAATTTTCTTAAACCAGGCAAAATTTGTTTTAATATGAAGGCAGGAAAAATCTTTATTTGTTAGAATGCAGCTATGTTTTAGTTATTTAGCTATGCTGTACCTTAAAAAAAACCCTGGTTGTTTCTCAGGGTGCCATAGTCCGTCCTGTGTACAGAATGATGCCACATCCTGGCTGAGAAGCAAGGACAGAGGGAGGACAGTACCAGTGTTGAACAGTTCATTTGCATTGAGCAAATTTACCTTTAAGTTGCAGGAAGAATGGCTGAAGACATACCTGAAGCTTCCGAGCAATTGGTTTTCATAAAAAGTTGACTGTTTAAATTTTAGCTTTTACAACCAATCATCTGTGTTGTGCTAAAGGCAGTTGGTTGCTGAGTACTTGTTCTTTCCCTGGCTGTTTCAAACTGAGATACGGGCTGGAAGTGCAGCCTTTGAGTGAAATACTGGTTTATTTAGTCTGATAGTGAAAGCACAGCTTGTATCAGTTATTCAGTGGAAAGAAACATATTTTATACTCATCAGCAAATTTACATGGCAAGGCCACAGTCTGAGATGATGTCGAAGACTTTAAGCTGAATAGTGACTTCTGTATCTATGCCATTAAAATAGAAGGGGTTGAGCTTCTGTAGGTTGTTTAAGTTGATTTGACAGTTATCCTGGGATTGGAAGGAAGGAAACCCTGAAAAACCTGACCAGCACAAAAAGCTGATCACTCAGGCCCACAGGCTTGCCTTGCTATCATAGTACCTACCTTCTTTTGATGTTTTTTTCTAGTGTATTTTTCTGTCTCACAAAAAAGACAGTAGGATAAATAATGCAGATTTAGGCATAAAATATGCCATTACAATATTTGGTTTTGTAAGTCTGTGTCAGGAGTTATTGGACATCCAATCCAAATGTAAGACTGGATTTTTTTGTGATTCTGAAAAACTATGCTCCTGTTCCAGTAGAACCAGAAACATTACTGGTTTAAACTATGATTACTGATAGGGATAAGTGTTTGGATTGAATAAAGAGCCTTAAGATTATAGGAGTGCTAGCTCTGTTTCCACTGTTTAGAAACAAATTCTGGGAAAATTATGTAAATAGTGGCTAGCAAATCAAGGTATGGGGGTTTCTCTTATGTACGTTTTTGTGTTTGGTTTGTTAAAAAAAAAAAACAAACACAAAGACAACACATTGCCCAGTGAAGAGCTCCGAATGTCAGAATAAACATGGCCTTCCTATGATCATTGGAGGATGGAGCACCAGAGTTGCTTAACTATGGAAACTTTTACCTAATGGCACTCTCTCCTAATTGTGTCAGTTAACTTCAGCAATTGGAAGCTGGGAGTTATTGCTTAATTGAAGTGGAAGGTGATGTACAAGTCACCATGCAATTAACTGAAAGAACGTAGTCAGATAGTCCCTGGCGTGTGGCTGAGGATAAATGACTACTTGGGCCATCTTGGAGTTGCTCTGCAGTTGTACGAGGGTTCTCCACACAAAGATTACGATCTACTCAGGTCAGCTGCTAAGCCACCTTCTGTTTTTTGTCATACTGAAATCAACCTTTCAAACCTTAAAAGCAGGGATGAACTTGATTTGATGGGAAGTACCCCAGACAAGTACCGCAAGAGATTTGAGATCCAGACACTTGAAAGCTATTGATGAACATGCGTAAAGGGGGAAAAAAACCCAAACAAACAAAACACAATTCCTTACAAGTATGTGAGGTTCTCACTCTGTATAAAGAACATATCTCTCCGCTGGAATAACAAGGATGACTGAGGTACTTGAAATAGTTAAGCCACCTTAAAATAAATGGCAAGGGAGGTGGCTTGCTTTGTGAGGGTGTTTCTTGACCCTTTTAGTTGTCAGTCTTTAACTTCTGAGATTAGTAGTAATTACAGCTTTAATGCTTCCTCTCCTTTCAGGTTAGTGTACTGTAAATCACTATAATTGTATGTCCATTACTTGTATGATTATAACCTCTGTTTAGACTTTGGATTTTGTGGAGTATATGTTCATAGCACAATATCCCTAAGTGAAATTGCGTTGTTACCCTTCAGATTGAACCACTTTACATTTTACAGTTAATTGAGAAAGGTAACCACTCCAACCATGTTGTGCATCTAAGAATTTTACATTCAAATCATAAATTTGTCTGACTTACAGTAGGCAAAGTATTTGATTAAATACTCTTTTTCCAGGAGAAATTATTCATTGCTGTAGTTTTTAATCCAAACAGACAAAAGTGTATGTATTCAGATACAAAATTTGTGTGGTTTAAAGTACCTTCAGCTTGTTCACAGCAGTGGACAGGAATTTTGGTTTGTTTGCCAGAAAGCTGTTGCTCTGTTTAGGAACACCTGTCATTAAGCACCTTCTTTCTAGTTCTTGAAGTCTTCACTCTCCCAGGTGTCTTGGTGATGCTGAAGTCTGTAACTGGTTATGGTTTCTTTGATGTATGCTACATTTTTATCCCGTATGTTCTTCAGGGCTGTTACTTTACAGTGGCTTTTTTTTTTCCTGGAATCAATCTTCAGAGCAATTCAGTATACATAACTTGGAGGAAAAAAAAAAAAAAAGCCAGCTGTTTTAAACCAAATATGTCTTCCAGGTTTGTTATAACAAAAGTACTTTTGAGAGCAATTTCTCTTTGTGAGGGAGAAACTACTCCAGCTTTTGTTATCTTAAGGAGAAGTTTGACTGGCACTTAAAGCAGAGCAGCTCGTTGTAATTAACTTATCAACTGGACTGTAGGTCTCTGTCAGACATTGTTTGTTAGATTCTGTGTGCATGGGTTAAGTTGTGTGTGCTCGTATTCAGTAGTACCCTTGGAATTCTTTGTTTGATGGTAGCTCTTGCCGCTTGTGTTTAAGAAAATTTTAGCGTTTTACAATACTCTAAGGAAAAAGAAAAGTCATCAGCTGGAAGAAGTGGAAGCAAACTGCAGAAATATTTACAAAGGGAATCTAGTCTTACTCTTTTTTTTAACATGCTATTAATGTCTTAGCACTTCATGTCTAACAATAACAAAGTCATTATGCAGAAACATAAAATGTATTATGGTGTTAATTTACATTACATGACTTTGCAGTGTGTTCACATTCCTTGTCTTAAGCTTAATGCTGTAGTTATGTGGCCATTTTAATGGAACATGAATTTTTGCTGCTGTCAAAATATGGTACTGCTTTCTCTACTTCTGGCCAGTTACTTTAGTGTTTCCTAAGTATTGAAAATTAAAGTCCCGTTCCTGGAAGTTTTTGCTGTGTATAACGATCTGCGATTTCACATGCGTTAGTCAACTACTCGTGGAATTACTTAAGCAAAAAATAAAGTATATGCAGAATTTTGTGGCATCAAGGCTAAAGCTCTGTAGAATTTAAAAGGCCTAACTTCTGTTCTAAAACTATTGAAATGTTAGCTACAGGAGGTATTTTAATTTGTAAACATATGAATGTTTATGAATAGCAGTCTAGTGTTAATTCTTTATTAATAGTAACCAGAACTTAAACTTCTATATATTTGGACTCAATGATTTAGGCTTACTTTAGTTTCAAATTATAATTGGTGATTTTATGTCAATGGTGAGTGCGTATTTAATTTTTTGAAAGTTCATTATTCTGGAAAATACTGATGGCAAAAGTAATGCTGACTTTCTTGCTTATCATTTCTGTGTATTATTGTGCAGTCTAATTACACTTCACATACAAGCACTAAATAATTTATTGTAAAGGATCAGCAGGGAGGATTAAGGTGTAAAGCACAGGAAGTTAAAATTGGAAGGTAAAAACTTTAAACTCTTTTTTATAACCTAGATATCCTTGTCAAAAACAAAAAGCAAAAATACCACCGCACAAAGACTGTGCAAGGCAAGACAACCTTTGTCTCAAAAGGCGAAGTGTATAACAGTGTTACAGACAATGAATTATAGTGTTTTACCAAAAGAGTACAAATATTAACTTTTTTCTTCATTTGTTATTGAAGATGAGTCTGTCTGCTCTCAGGATATCTGAAGCCTGTGAGGTATTTTTAGTAGATATCACAGAAGAGAGAAACCAAAATAGTTTCTTATCAGCTGCCATGTGAGTGATGATTAAACGAGTAAATACCAAACGAGGTATTTACTCAATTTGTTTTAAAATTTACAGTTAATTTTTTTCATATCTTACGTTCATCGTGGTGATTAAGTATGGTCTTTTCTAGAAGGCCAGTGTCGTTTAATTTTATGGTGCTGGCCAGAGGTAACCAGCCTCCTGCAAGTGCTTAAATAGATTGATAATGCAAGTCTCACACTTGTACGTGTGAAACAAACATTCTGAGTAGTGTTACAAATTGACCAAATAGTTGAAGATCCTAAGTGTGTTGCTCCAGTTTCTTATGTTAATGAAGTATAAAAAAAGTCTTGAATAGTTGATCTGTGCCTAGATGTGGTTACTGCAGCCTGTTGTGTTGTAGGGGGCACTTGATACAAAAATGGCATTTGTGAGGTGGCAGCTCCAGGGTTTAAAAAGTGGCCCTGGTTTAAATCTAATGCTGAAACTGAAGATCCACCCATTTATCCCATTTATCTGTAATATTAAAACCAAAATATTTCCGCAAATGTGACATGACATTTTTTTACACAAACTGAGCTTTTTCTGTTTGGGGAATTCCTTGATGCATTTTTTCAAGTGTGTATTTTTTCCATGTGGTACCTATTTCTGGCAAAGGCAAGTATGCGTCACTGTTGCAATTTTTTTATATCATTCTGCCATATACAGTGTATTTTAGTGGAGCTCATACTCTGGACCATTATATTTTTGAAATTTGTTTGAAGATTCAGAAGGTTTGCTCGTAATCTTAAACACTGCTATGCCTATGTCTTGGGAAATAAAAATGGGGAGAAGAGTAAAGTCCACTACAGTATCGTTTGTAACCAATTATTTTCACTTTTCAGATGTTCCTCCTGCTGATCAAGAAAAGCTTTTTATCCAGAAGTTACGACAATGTTGTGTACTTTTTGACTTTGTTTCTGATCCACTAAGTGACCTAAAGTGGAAGGAAGTAAAACGAGCAGCTTTAAGTGAAATGGTAGAATATATCACACACAATCGCAATGTGATTACAGAACCTATTTACCCTGAAGTAGTACATATGGTAAGTCATTTAACAATGGGAACTATTTTGAATCTTTTTTAATTCACAGTTGCTTCTTCAGCTGTATCAATTTATCTTAAGAAATCTTACTGAAATCTTCAAAAAAGATCGACTATACTTGCACATCTGCAAAATTAAAATATAACAATGGTTTTAAATGCCATTGCCAGTGTTGATTCCTCTTGTTTGTAAAATAGAAACTAGACACATATAGGAAACAGAAGTAAATTATGGTTTAACTTTGTAAAAATGAAGTCTTGCATTTAAAAAAAAAAAAAGTGGTTGCTTTTTCCCCTCTACAAATCTTTTTTGGAATAGATGTTTATAAAAATAGAGAGGAAACTTAAATACAACTAGCTGTTACAAAAAATGCAGATTGCAAAATTGAAAATGTAAAAAAAAAAAAGCCAGGAGATTAGAATTAAGATCACCTGTGCAAGCTTGACACTTAATCTGATGTAATCTCATCCAGTACCAGCGATTGATTTTATTCTGTGTTCAGAGGTGAGAATGAGAGTCAGACCTTATTTAGTATACCAGATGGCAGATGAGGATTCTGCTGGAAGAAGCTCTGTGAACCATTCAGACCTATGTTGGTTCTCCCTGCTCGCTCTCCAGCTAGACCTGGTTTATTTTTCTATCGTGCATAAGTCCATTCAAGGGGAAGAGGCCATGAAACTATGAGAATCTTTCAGCTCTCGTTGGGATGACTAGACACCAGTTGCCTGGAGTAGCAGTTGGCTTGAGGTCTCAGTCCTTTTAGCTGTTGCCTGCAAGTCACTGACAACAGAAAGCATCTTTTGAAATAGCTGACTATTAAGCCTACAAGAAACTTTTGACTCTGTGTGACATGATGGTTTTTCCTGAGACTTTAGAGCTTGGGTTGAATTTTCAGGGAGATAAGAAAACAGTACCTCTTTAACATAAATATGAACTCAGTCAAATTCTGAGGTCCTCCTACAAATCAGAAACTTCAAAGATTCTTCAAAGATTCTAAGGATTTATAGTATGAAAGATGTTGCTTATTCTGAAGATTGCTTGTTATCTAAATCAGCCGTAAGTGTTTACTGATACAGAAGTCTCTTTCATGAGAACTTCTGGGTATGTGAGGATTACATGTAGCTCTAGATGTCAAACACATACACAAAGCATTGAGGATGGGTAATGAGAAGATGTGGGTCAGGGCTTTTCCCATGTCTTGATAGCTTATTTATATCTCTGGGTTTTGCTAATTGATTGCTTGCTTTGGAATACTTGACACTGATGAAAGGGGAGTTACGAAAGAGAATGAGCTTGCTGAGGCTTCGTTTAGATAAAATGGAGGTTGTGATGAGTTCTTGAGTATCTGTGTCAGACATTAGTGTTTACTCTGCATAAGAAGTCTTAACTGCCCATAATTTCATAACTTCTGCCATATGTGCCTGCGTTATCTTCCTCCATCAAACAGTAATGGCCAGAGTGTATTTGGCTGAGGGAAATATATACTTTCTTCACTTTCAAATGTAACTAATGGTAATAAAGTCTGCGCTTTGGTCAATTTAATGAATCTCTGTACAGAATGTGGCTGCTATCTTAATCACCAGTGTTTGGCTGGGAGCACACAGCATGTTTGGCAACTCTTTCAGTGAATTTAAAACGCGTTTTTATGCTCGAGATTCTGAAGGGTGTGGGGTTTCCTTGCATGGGACCTGCACGGCACGGCAATAGACACTGTCAGGGAAGGCACCGAGCCTAGTGTTTGAGGTAAAATTCAATAGTAATTTTTTTAGGCTGCTTTTATGGAACAGTTTTCTTTTGGTCACGTGTTTGGAAACAACTGTATTCCTCCTGCAGTAGTGTTGTCAGCCTCTTTCTTTCAGGCACGTACACGTAAGTCAAGGTGTACTTTTGTTAAGTTCCTAGCAGTAGATTTGAGTTGATTGTTTGGATTTTAAGGAAGAATGCCTTTGTGTATTTTAAGACTCTTCCAAGAGACACTGATAAGTTGCGTGCTGCTGCTGTCATTGAATTATATTAATAACAAATAGTGTTTCTAGTAAAATTATGAGAGTGATCAAGAAATACTCAAATTTGAGAGTTGCTCTTGGTTTGGAAGGTTTGTAGAGTTGATTGTTGGCATAGGAATTAGGACTTTTCTGTGCCATTCTGTTAATCTTCACAACTTGGAGGTTACTCATTTATACTTGAGTATATATAGATATACATGCATATATACACGTGTGTCTGATTTTTGTTTGGTTTTGTAAATGGATTATTTAGGCCAAACACTTAGGGCAATGAATTTCACAAGTTACCTGTTTAATAATAACAATAGTATTCCTTTTCAAAAGCTTCAAATCTTCTTTATCTCTGATAGGAGAAGCATCTACCTTATCATCTGGTGGTTCTTTATTGTTTATAATTCTAGTGCTTGTGTCATGTCCATCCACCCCTCACCCTTTTTTTTTTTTTCTTCAAGTGTCCTGGGCTAATTTATAGTAAGATCTTGTATTTAAGCTATATATTAAAATATTAGATTAGTTCAGTTATTTAATGTTAATCATAAGTTTCCTTTTCTCTCATACAAGAGAAATAAATTTCTAAAATGGATTTCATGTTATTCTGCAGAGTGGTTGTGTTGAGTTCCGTTTCTTCCTCAAAGAACCAGCTGATATGTCCTTCAGATTCTTTTTGTGATTGTAAGCAAAGATGTGATGGGAAAGGAAATGTTTTTATTAAATGCTTGTGTATCAAGTTCCATTTTTCAGGTATAATATAGTAAGATTGGATTGATTAGCCTCAGAGCAGGAACTTGCCTCTTCTCAAAACAGTAAGACATGTAGTCAAATGTCTGAATGAGTCTTGTAAATATAAATGATAAATTTAGGAGTTTTGATGAAAAGCAGCTGTTACAGATTCTTATTTAGGAAAGAATATATGGGTTTTGGTTGGCTTTTTTTTAGCTTGGCTTTTGAAGAAAACCGGGCTTTATGAGAATGTTCTGTTGTGCACTAGTTTGTCGAAAGCACGGACACTTAGGATATCAGCTTTGTAGAACTTTGTGAGAGTTGCTAGCTATGTACAGACCCAAATGAGTGCTGCTTTCCACCTCAGGGAAGGACGGGCGTGTAGTGATAGGACAAGGGGTAATGGCTTTAAACCGAAAGAGGGCAGATTTAAATTAGATATAAGGAAGAAATTTTTCACTCAGAGGATGGTGAGGCACTGGAACAGATTGCCCAGAGAAGTTGTGGATACCCCCTCCCTGGAAGTATTCAAGGCCAAGTTGGATGAGGCTTTGGGCAACCTGGTGTAGTGGAGGGTTTCCCTGCTCATGGCAGGGGAGTTGGAACTAGATGATCTTTAAGGTCCCTTCCAACCCGAATCATTCTATGATTCTAAGATCAATATGAATATTCCCCACCTATCCAGCCAGAGGGTATTGAGGAGAGATGACAGGAGGTTAGGGCACTACTGGATGTAGAGGTTCAGGGTTGTAGTGTTCTGAGAAAGAAGTAGAGCAAAAGCTTGTATAAATACGGCTTACTTATTTCTGTAGCTCCCAAAAAAATTTCCGTACTAATGATGATGATGAAGTGTTGTGGATGGTAAATTAATGTTTTTGTGAAGCCTATAAGCTAATATTACTTTTTAAATTGTTACTATATAGGAACAGATCTAATTCTATAGGTATTTTCAGCACCTGAAACAGTTTTCAGTGCAACTTTTCAGGGATTATGAAAATGAAATCACATGCTCAGTTATACACATGGAGAGGTTGATTTATATTTTTTTTTATTTCTAATTTGGAGGGGTTTGTGAGTGTGGTCTTTTAGTTTGATTTTGCTTGGATCTTTGGTCTAGAAGAAGATATGTAGCTGTGAATGGAAGTGTACTACTTGTGGCTCTGTTTAGCTAATAGGATGGCTTAGTTCACACGAATGTAGAAGGCACAGACTTTCAGATTATATAGCTTGTCATTCAGAGCTGTTCATGTGAGGCTTCACTCAGGCTGCTCAGCAGAAGGGAGGAGAAAACGTGTAATGGTATCTCTGATGCTTACGTGCTAGAATATGTTCTCCAGTGTTAACGCAAAATGGGCCACTAGAAAAACAAGGTGCATAACTACCACTACAGCAAACATATCTGTGAAGCAGTAAAAATGCAGATTTGCTTTTTGTCTTTTGTTCTCCCATTCTTGTAAGTTTTGTCCTTCGGAATCAAGTATTGTCAGTGCTAACAGCACAGAGAGAATTTTGGCACACTAGCCCAGTTTTCATAAAGAATGACATTTCATAAATTGGGGAGGGGTGGAGCCTTGTGGAGTCTTATTGCAAGGTAGCAGGTGGGATGTAGCTGAGGAGGGGATGTATTTAAGTTATGCAGTGTTTACTTAGTACTTCTGTGGGAAATTGGCCTTAGAGCAAATTACAAATTTGCAGCTTGGGGCTTATCTGTTTGGTCAAAAGACTGAGAAGTTACGAAAAAGATCAGCCATTTGACAGAAGGTAAAGGTCTCACTGATACTAATTCATTGTAAATTTTCCTAAATTTCAGTGGCTTCATAGACAGTGTTTCAGGTTTGTGCCTTCACTGGGAGATGCTGCATCTTTATTTGAGCAGTTTGTGTTCTTTGGTCAAGGATACAAGTTTTGTGTTCTTTGGTCAAGGATACAAAACACAAAACAGATCAAATCAGACTGCATTGGTTCCATTGCTCATGGAACAAAGTATTGTGGTTTGGGGTTTTAATTCTTTCCATTTGATATTCTCAAAAACAAAAAATATAAAACATTGTACCTAATGCCATACATGACTTGGCTTTTCTTTCTTATAGCAAGAGCCTGAGAGTTTCAGAAAAGGCTGATTATTCTTCTATTTGCTTAACAATTTAAAACTTGCTCAGCAAGTTTTAAATTTCAAGTCTAGACTTCCTGGGTTTGTTTTCTTGGAAGACTATTGTAAATTTTCACCTTGTTTTTTTAAACAGAGGTTGGAGGCTATTAGTTGCTTGGTGTCCATGCTTTTAAAATGGGGAGCATAAAGATATTTTTACTTTACTTTTAATTCTCTGAAATAGTAATTATGCTGATATGCCAGTCTCAATCTGTATCAGACCTACATCTCAGTTACTGAAATGAAGGAATATTCTGAAGAAAAATAGAGCATGAGGATGACTTTTCCTTCATGGGAATATGATGTAAGTCTTGCGGATTTAGCTGATGCAGTTTGATACTGCCTCCCACTGTCTGCTCTGCCATCTGTCAGGTGTGAGATGGCAGGACAGCACATGCATATGCTCCTTAGCCCTGCCAGTTAATAGGTAATTCACAGCATTATTTTAAACTGTGAATGGAGGTGTTAATGAGAAGAAGTCAGAATGTGAAGAGGGAAACATGGCATTCTGTTGCTTTTCCCAGAATCCCACCAAAGATGGGTGGAATGCATTCCTCTGTGAAATAGCATCTTTAAACTGAGACAGTTTAATCTTTTAGAGCTTTTGAGTAATCTTCAAATGATGAGCAAGAACACTGTGATGCTATTAAAAAAAAAAAAGACCCTAACCAACCAACCAACTTAAAAAAAAAAAAACACCTCAGTAAAACCTGAGAAAAGAATAAAAATGTGTGTATGGCACATGTTGTTATCTGCAGTGGAATTTGAACATAATAAAGACTGAAATTGTGACATAAAGAATAGATTTTAAATGTGATATTGGACTACACCTTGCCTTCTGAATAGCTACATTATAAGTAATCTCAAACTTGTAGAATTTAGGGATTTTTCCTTAAATTAAGCTGTATTATAGACTTGTTGAAAGCACAGGAACCTTTCAGCTGATGAAGTTAATATATTCTTTTGCATCCTTCAATAAGATGTTCAGTTCAGTGCAAGTTCCAACAATCTCTTTTTTTTTCCCTAGCTCGTCCTGGAGATGCCCCATGCAGGCATGTTTGCTGATCCAAGTATTGGTTTTCTTGAAAAGGCTCTGTAAATATTTCTGCTGCTCCTGGTGATGTAGCCTTTTGCAAAGAATTTTCTTTTTCCTGACAAATCACCTTCTCTGCCCTGTTGTCTCTTCCATTGCCAGACATGGACATGTTAGCCGATTTTCACCTAAATACTTGGAAAAAGACACTTCTAATCTGCTACAGCAATAGCATATCAATAGCAATGTGTAGGTTAACTCTTACCAGTACTCGTGGTACATATTTAGGACAGGGTCTGTGTATGCCTTACGCTGAAGCTCTGCGTAGCCAGCTGCAGCTGATTTGGTAAATCGTCTTTGTGCAGGATGTAGCTCTCCATTCAGCATAGCCACCGTTCTCGTGGTGAGCAAACGTTTACCGAAATTTACTTTAAAAATTCTTAGTATTTTTGTAAAGCACAAAAAGATCTGTGTATTTGAAAGCGGAATTTACTTTAGTATTGTAAGTAGGAATAGACTTGAAGAGAATTTCTTTATGGAGCCTGATAGGCATTTTCTGAAGAGTTAGGACAGTACACCGCTGTTTTTATTTTGGCAGTCTTCTCCGTTTCTACAGTGTGTTCAAGCTGCTGAGAGGCTGAGGCATTTGTCTCAAAGGATCATTTTGAAGTAGTGGAGGCGGTTTGGGACCATAACTAATTTGAATTGATTTTTTTTTCTGTACAAAAATAAGTTTAGACTGTTTGGTACTGGTCTGATAATGAGTAAGCAACAAAATAGAAGAAGAAAGTCTCTATTGGATGCACTTACATGGCTAAATAGATTGTTTTTCTACTTACTCAGCAATTTGGTTGTCTCCTACCAAGGTCTACCCTACCTCATATTCTGGATTACAAGTGGAATTGAGGAATTTGTCTCTTTTTCAGTACTGACAGCTATAGCTGTCTTGCATATACAGATAAAGGCTTTTTCAGATTTTCTTGCTGGAATGTGCAGAAACCTTTTCCCTCTGACTTGCTCAGTAAAGTTTTAATAATTGACTCCTAGGGTGTGAGAACAACCATTTGAATCACCGGCTAGTTGCTCCTTTCTTATCCACAAAGAAGCTAGCTGGTTTTGCTAACTGTCATTTCAGGTGGAGAGTTTAGGATACTGCAGACCTTTTAAATCTCTGCACCATTCTAGATAAGGTTACTCTTGATAATGTGTGCTAAATTTATCACAAAAATCATGTACGGTTTTTTTTAGCCAACTAATGTGTTTTACTTTACATTTGTGATTATATACATTGTATAAATTGATAACAAAGCAATTATTTCTGATCATATGTTTTTATTTTAAAAAATTTAAGCTCCATGCATTTAGTTACGAGGTTGTTTTGCCTAGAACAGGACCTCGTAGGAAAGTTTTCTGACCGTATGACAGGGAATGAGGTTTTTGCCTTTGTTAGGGACTTTGAAACTCTATTCATGGTAAAGGGGTTTGTGAAGGGTGCTACTTGGGTTCATATACAGTATGAATCTGCATCTAGACAGGCACTTGGAAACACAAAAATAATTTATGTGTATATATCAACAACTTGTAAATCAATTCATTTTGTATAGTCTGCTCCACTTCCATGAGGATGCTAAATGGTTTTCAGGGGGTTGAGAATTCAAATGAAGTGAAAGATTAAAGGATCAGGATTTGCACTTCTCCCCCCTCAATGCCTCTGTGAAATCAGGTAGATTGACATGGTTTAAGAAAAATACCACTGAGAGTGGGAAGGAGGAATTTGGTTTTGAAGTGTTTCCACGTGTGTATACCCGCAATGTGAAATGAAACTGATAATATTTTACGGAGAAGAACAGTTGCAGGTACTCTTGGTTTTGCATCTCTGCCTCTGACTTACACTTCCGCAGGTTGTTGCAAGGCCTTGTAAGGTGTATATATAAAAAATATGTGGGTAAATATTTTGTGTACAATTGTTTAGGCTTGTAAAATGTGTGTGTGTAAAGAGATGAGAGCAATATCCTCCTGAAGTGTGTCCTGACAGGTTTGTGCTTTAAAAAGTACTGCTTGGGAAAGTATTCTAGTTAGAAATATTTGAAGAAGAATGAATGTGCCTCATTATTGTTTAAATTACTGGGTTATATAGCTTGTATTTTTGCAAATGTTAATTAAAATAGTTCATGTAAAGAATTCTCAGTCAAAACAGTCTTTGTCTTTTTTTGATCATTCGCTTGCTTCAGAGTTTTTAAAGACACATGTGATTTCAGTTTGCAGTTAATATGTTTCGAACATTACCACCATCTTCCAATCCAACGGGAGCAGAGTTTGATCCAGAGGAAGATGAACCAACCTTAGAAGCTGCATGGCCTCATCTACAGGTATTTAAGGAAGGCACGGAATTGAGAGTCTAACAAAATTTTGACATTAAAATCATTGTTTATTGACTCAAAATACTTTATTTTGTGTCATATCAATTACATTTCGCTGGAATATTTAAAATATTTCTTGAATTTAAACTTAGAATCTTTTTTAAAAATTTCAGTTAGTATGTTAGAGGTTAAAGGCTCGTTTCTTGCAGTACCGATGTAACTGCTGTGATTTTTAAATGAGCTTCACCCTGTCACTCTGCATGCTTTGATCTGACCCTGACAGAGCTCTAGCTTTCGGAGGTACCATGACAAACAGAGGAGAACAGAGAATTTTCAAAACACGTACTTCTGGGCATGATGAATATTAGATTACTGTGTGCCATTTGAGTAAAATCTAGTAATGGAGCTCAGCAGAATTTTAATGCAGTTTAAAGAACTTCAGGTTCTTTTACTTTGTCAGGAGAGCAAGAGCAAAGCTTTTACTGTGTGCTATATAAATAAAAACATAGTGCAGTTCTGAGTAACTAATTAGTAATTCTGGTAATGTGCTGCTTATAACATGGATTCCTTGTTTAAAAGACTAATACTGTTTTGTTTTTTTCAGCTTGTTTATGAATTTTTCTTAAGGTTTTTAGAATCTCCAGATTTCCAACCTAATATAGCTAAGAAGTATATTGATCAGAAGTTTGTATTACAGGTGAGGTAAAAAAAGAATTTTAACTTTAAACTCTAAATTTACAGTGCACTAGATTCAACTAAAGTGCATCTCTTCTTTTCCTTCTTTGCAGCTTTTAGAGCTCTTTGACAGTGAAGATCCTCGTGAAAGAGACTTTCTTAAAACAACTCTTCACAGAATATATGGGAAATTCTTAGGCCTAAGAGCTTACATCCGGAAACAAATTAATAATATATTTTATAGGTATGTCAGTATCTGTGTATGATGGTGCATGTGATCAGATATACCACTGAAAATACTCCAAGACGGTGCTAGCAATTTTTAAAATTCTTAGTAAGTTTATACCCAGTATTGCTGCATCTAACAATAATTAATACTAGTCTGGGAGATTTAAATTAGGGTAGTCTTGCACACAGCGTGAATGTGTCAGCTAAAATTTTAGTTTGTCAGTAAGTCACTGACAAAGTGAGTGGTTTGATATCTGTGAGGGGTTTTTTTCTTATTGAGTAGTAGTATTTATATTACAGTAGTGCCTTAATAAAGTGTAGTTCTTCATAATGCAGAAATTGGGCTCAAATCAAATGACTGAGAAATCTGGAAGTTTCTTGCAGGAAAAGATTCACTACCTTTTCTTTCCTCACAACTGAGATGTTCCATTTAGGGCTCGTGGATTTTTTTTTTTAATTGCCATAGAATAAACTGTAGCATTATCCTCAATATAAAAAATACAAAGATGAAGAATTAATCCACTCTATTACCAAAGGTCTTCAGAAGTGTGTTATTACTGCTGATATGCCAAGCGCGAATGCAAAATTATGGTGCCTTTGTTAGTCTTTTAGTTTGATACACTTTGCTTTTCTACAAATAATTACGTTGTGTAGCAGTTTTACACTTGTTCCATCATGCTTCCCTTTTTCTCTGCCACTGTTGTTTTCATCCCAAAATGAATGTATGATGCTACCCCTTTAAGAAAACAGCAAAAAGCTGCCACTTAGTCGGTGCCATCTCCTGAATGGCACCCATCAGTACCAGCTGTAGAGGGAGCTGATCTTCCCGGTCTATGGTAACAAGTAAGCCTTTAGAAGAGATATAGAGGGGCTACTTTAAAATAATTAGTAAGCCTTTAGTGTCTTGGAGACAATTACTCTTGACTGGATGTTTCAAGAGCCAGATGTCCTAAGGAAAAATTACAGGTGTATCTTTCAAACAAAGATGTAAACTCTTTTTCCCTCACGCATGGACTTTTATTAAATTAATTCCAAAATGTATGATTTTGTAAAACATCTGAACTAGATGGTACAACAGCATCATGGCGTATTTTAATGCACTTCTGAACAGTGTTTTTATTTGCCACTTCTTGCACTTTACTTTCATGGATAATGGAAGAAAAGTCTTCAAACACAGATAGTTCCGGTGCAAGACTATTGAAAGACTAAGAAATGTTCTGGTCGTTAGATCAACTTTGTAATAGTTTGTATAAAAATATGTTTTCAATCTGAAATGTTTTATGGGAGATTATATAATTTGCACTGTAGAGACTACCTTTCTCTACCAAGTTGTAGGGGAAAAAAATTAAACAGAAATCCTCGCTTTGTTGTATAATATTTAGGAGCTAGAAATTTGAAACATATTGCATCCAAATGTAAACTAGTGTTCCTGGATATGAGCACCAGGGAGGAGAATGTTTTTTCCACTTCTGTCTTGAATTAGTGGATTGTGCATGATAAGCTGTTCAAGTATGTGTAGAATTCTTCAAAATATTTCCTTTTCTCACACTTTGCCTGCAAGTTGTCAGTTAGTTACTGTGCTTACCGAAGAAATGTGTGGTCTTTATTTGTCTTTTAGTGTGGTCTCTGTCCTGATAGTACATTAATCTTATTTTTTTTCTGATGTTAAATATTATTATTTTTGAATGATTAATCTCTTGTTCCTGTTAATTCAGTTCAAAGCTTTTTGTATTTGTCTTTAGTTTGCTTGGAATTGTTGTTCTGAATTATATGGAAAGGGTCTTTAAGGAGAAAAAAAGCGTCACAACAGCTCCTTTTAATCCAGAATATTTGATAATATGTCAGTCCATTACAGGTTTTCAAGTAGAAAAATTCTTTCTAATGAGTGGAATTATTTTCTCATAAGTGTAAATTTTTACAACTCTTCGCGAAATACCTGAAGTTGTACATAGAACTTTCTCAATAAACGTACTCTCATGATTGAGAAGAGGTTGGAAAGGTGATTGCCTAGTAAATTACAGTGCTCTATCAAAAGAAAATCCAGGAAAATTTGACTTCCGCTGTTAATTACAGAGCCTTTGTATGCACAGAAGTCCATAATGCCAAAGAGCTTTTTAGATCCATAAGTAGTGACTGTATGAACACCTTGTGCTTGCATGAGCTATTGAAGCTTGAGTCATGGCATTTGATTATGACAGCTGCTCTTGTGTTATTTTAATATTTAAGGTGTTGTTTGCTGCGTTCAGTTTTGCATTATTAAAATGGCATAGAATATGATTATTGGAAAAAGCTCAAGTGTGTGCTGCCTTGTTAAATGTTGGGGAAAAGAGCAAGCAAGTGTGAAGGCTGAAATCAGCTTGATGTGCTATTGATTTATGTTTCCACAAAGTCTCCTTTCCACTGTGTGTTTCTGTTTTCTTTTTACTGAGTGACTAAAACCTGGGAGGTCAAGGCTACCTGTAACGTTAGATGGAGATCTCGGTATTGGATTTATATCTCTATTCAGCAGTAACTTTTCATTTATTTAGGTTTATTTATGAAACGGAACATCACAATGGCATAGCAGAATTACTGGAAATACTGGGAAGGTAAGTTGTAGGTTTGTTTAATTAAACTTGCTTGGTCTTCAGAAGAGACTTTAAAAATCAAGTGGGGGATTGTAGATTGCTTTGAGACAAGATTAAAATAGCTTCATATCATATGACAAAGCTATAACAGAGAATAAAGTTTGTGAAAGATTGCAGAAACACAGCAAAAACTTTAACTCTGTGGCAATATTTTGGGATGTGACAATTTTTTAAACCTTACTTTTTAAATCTTATTTTCTAGCATAGGATCCTTGTAATAGGTTGTAAAGCAACTACAAATAACATGTAAATAACTGAAAAGTATTCAAAAATCCTTCTAACATCACTAAATCCATAGCAGGTAAACAAAGGAAGAATAGGTTATAAAACTTCAGAAGTCTTCTGTTAATCCCATTGTATAGCAGACTTCAGTGATGCATCTGAAAGCCCTTCAGACTAAAATTTTACAACTTAAAGCTGATAGCCTCATCAAAACTAGCGTGTTTTTTATCAACTGATCAATCTATGTGCAAGCTTTCGGTTTTTATACATTACTACACTTTAAAAGCTTAGTTAGATTTATTTTATAGTGTTTCCATATCACGTAAAAATAACAGGTCAGCGAGAGCAGGTTGTGTCTGGTTGGGCTTTGGATATCTCCAAGGAGAGAGACTCCACAACCTCTCTGGGCAATGGGTTCCCATGTTTGACCACACTCACAATAAAAAGGGTTTTTTCTTATGTTTGAATGAAATTTCCTGTGTTTCAATTTTTGCCTGTTGCCTCTTGCCCTTTCACTGGGCACTACTGAGAAGAATCTGACTCTGTCATCTTCTCACTGTCTCTTCAGGTATTTGTACACATGGATAAGGTCTCCCTGAGCCTTCTTTAGGCTAAACAGCTTCTTCAGCCTTTCTTTGTATGTCAGATGCTCCATCCCCTTCATTATCTTTGTGGCGCTTTGCTGGACTCCCTCCAGTATATCCACATCGTTTTTGCCCTGGGGAGCCCAGAACTGGACCCAGCACTCCAGATGTGTCTCACCAGTGCCGAGCAGAAGTGAGGGATCACCTCCCTCAACCTTTTGGCAATGCTGTTCCTAATGTAGCCCTAGATGCTGTTGAAATTGGAGAGATGTTTTAAAATTTTCTAGGTCTACGTGTCTGCCCAAAAACTTTCAGTGAAATTTTCAATGATTAAAGGAGTTACATATCCATCATTACTTCAACATACTATAATCAAGTAATACTCATCAAGATATACTGATGACCATGTAAAGCTTAAGTACTAGAACTGGAGCTAAATCTTCAAAACTGTTACTTAAGTCACCAGCTTTTTCATTCTTGGTTTTGTTAGGTTAGCTTTTAGTGTCACTTTAAAAGTTAAGTGTTTTTTTTCCCTCAGGCTTCCAAATAAAAATTTCTACTAGCTAAGTGAGGTTTCTGAGCTATAACAGTTCTGTATTGGTTATTCTTCTAGTCCATTAAAGGTTTCACACAGCATGCTGTTGGCATAGAGCTTCCTATGAGTAACAGTTTTTTAGTTGGGTTCCTGGGTTTTGACTTGTCAGAAGTAAAGAGGAATTGAATTTCATGCTGAAGAACTGGATTTTGTTCTATTCCTTTGCTAAGTGCTATATAATACTGGACAAATGAACACTTCCAGTAGGAACAACTAATGTGGTTATGTTTTTTTTCTGACAATCATCTCTTGACAGGATTGCAGAATTTCTTCACGCTCAGTCGAGGCCAAACTTGCCCTATAATTCTGCTCTTCTTTCTGGTTAACAACCCTTAAAACATCTTGGAGAAACTTTTTTTAAATTAAGTTAATATATATTTGTTGAGTATCTGGAAGTTGTGGCAAGAGCACCATAGAAATGTTAATATAGAAATAAGAGTTTTGATGTTAAGCACTAAGAGGCTTCAGGAGGAGTAACCTTGTATCATCAAAATAGTTGTGCATTTGATAGTAGTGGAAATTATTTTAAGCATATGCAGCAAGGGTGAGCGAGCATTATTTAGTAAGCTTTAATTCTGGGACATTATCTGATTTCTGAGCTCTGAATACATGTAACTGAATTTTTTAGTGTGGGGGGTTTTTTTTAGAATAAGTTTGGCAGATTCCTTTTGCCTGTGTGCTTTCTGTTCTTGCTAGTGAAGAGAAAAGCATTAGAATGGATACAGTAGGATTTCAAACAGTAAATGGACAATAGGATTGTGGATGTTTTAACTGATGTTAATGTTAGCAAAGTGAGTGAACACAAAACACTGTTATAGTGTTTTGGTTTTAGGCAAAGGTGCCATTGACCCAGTTTTGAGCCACATCTGCACTCACCTGCAACTGAGATGTAATGTTGAGCCGCAATTTGGTTATATGCTAGGGTCCTGCAGACATGGTAATATTTTAGCAGAAGCCATGTTTTGACTTGTCTGCTGTCCTGGATTGATCTCTTCTACATCCAGTCTCTGGTTTATTCTTTAATTCCATTAAGAAGCTGGGAGAAATACGTATTCAAACCTTTGATGAAAGTGAATAATTATAGCAAAAGTTGGAAGTGTAGGTGTAGTCATATATGTTGCTTGGAAGAAGAATTTGATACCTGTGAAAGACTTGTGTGAGGGATGGGCAGAGGTTGATTTGACTATTACATTGATTTGTAAAATTTAGACAAACTGGATCAAAAATTAAATAGTCTTTGGTGCATGCTTAATTTGTAAGCTTTTCTGTTGCGTCATGTTTTCCAGATCACGAAAATGCAATGAAAAGAAGGGGTTTGGTATATCCTGTAGTCGTGCAGATTTTGTGTAATTACTGATTTTTGTTTTTAAATTACTTTCCCTGGCAGCATAATTAATGGATTTGCCTTACCATTAAAAGAAGAGCACAAAATATTCCTATTGAAGGTTTTGTTACCATTGCACAAAGTGAAATCACTCAGTGTCTACCATCCACAGGTAAGTTTTGTTCGGCACTTTTCATACTAGTGTGTTTAAAGTAAGTTCGCCAAGAGAGATCAGGAGGAGTCTAGTCGTTCTGATATGGATACTGTTCTGAGCTCTGACATTTGCCTGCTAAGTGGACTTGGGGAAATTATTTAATATATGTACCTATAATGCTTCACTTGTTGAGGGAAAAAAATAAATATGTATATGTTTGTGTATTTATATAAATAAATACTTTTTTTAAGTACTATAGTGTTTGTAGATGAAACACATGAAGTATTTGATCTTGTTCTTGTCTGTAATGTTTAGACATACATAAATTGCAGAGGAGTATGATTTTAATGACTGTCAGCTATAAACTTTTTTTCTAAAGTACATGGAGAATTTCAGCTGAATTCAGTTTCCTACAACTATTGATGTTTTGAAAGGACTTGGGTGTTTACTAGAACATCATTATTTAATTCAATAGATCTTAAGACGTAGAGGAAAAAAAAGGGGCATCTAAGTTGTATTTTGTTTTTAAAGCAGCTATATAACTTTTCTCTGCTGAGTTTAGTTCCATTCAGAATTCCTAGAGGAGTGGGAAATCATACAATGTTAGAGAAAACACAGTGGTGCTCTGATATGCTGAAGTTTTCGCTATAAGAGGTTGTTAAACAGCTTTGTTTTTTTAATTTGAACGTTCAACATTTTCTATACAAGTTTAAGTTACTCCCAAGTTTTAAGTGCCGTTTCTTCAAATAAAATTCCTAACAGCTCGTATATTTAAGAATACTAGTTGCGTAATTACAATTCTCTAGCAGTTAGAGATGCTTATAAGGATTTGCTTTGAATCTTGCATACTGGAGCTCACATCAGTTCCTGTTGAAGTAGTAGGCTAGAGTGGCTCCCATCCAACTCTAACCATTCTATGATTTCTAAATTTTTTTCTTTTTTTTTTCTAATGCTATGAACATAACCTGTTGAAGTGTGGCCAATCAGACCTCTCTTAATAATCTCAACTAGTGCAGACATCTGTGATTGCCACCTTTTCATCTTCCTACTTGAGACTGATTGGTCTTTATTTGTTCCCTTTAATTCACAAACTAGTTCTCTGAAATCTTTAGGTGATTTGCCCCAGAGTAAAACGACAAAAATCCACATTGAAACAGTGGCAGATACTCAGAAGGATCTGCTGCCAAATCCAGATATACACAAAGGAAGCTAATTTCTATGTTCAATTCAAAGTTACTTTAGAATAGTGGAGAACACCAGACGTAATAATCTACGTACATTCCTCAGATTACCTAGAGACATTCCTGGTAGCAACCATCAAAAACAGGAAAGGAATTAGGCTTACTGACTGAACTTCCATAAATGGAGAGACACCAGAAAAATGGTTTAACAGTTCATGACGTGTGCAGCAATCCTCCCAGTTACTTTGGGACTAGTGGCCTATAGAGTGAAAGAGATGTAATAGTTTACCATTGAGGCACAGGTAGACAGTCTCATTCTCAGAACAGAAGTTGGTAAATAGTGTAATTCAGCATCAGCTTTACATCGATACCCATAGTTATCATTAGTTCTCATAGATAGAAAATCTATCTATGAAAGGTTTACAGCTTCAATGCATTTTTCACTAACTGAGGTTATGAAACAGAAAATACTTACGAAATCAACATGGCACACCAAAATGTTAGTGAGTGGAAAGCACGTTAGAGGATGAGATTGTGATTTTTAAATCCTGTGTTTGAAAAGATAAAGTGTGCTGAAATGTGAAGTACTAGGTCTAAAAAGAAAACGTCGAATTGTGTTTGTCTATATTATAACCCAGAAAAAGGTAAGGACAGACTTGGGAAGGTTGGGAAAAATTGGTAAAGCATATTTAGCTTTCTGTTGTTTAAATGGTCAGCCAAAAATTTTTGTAAAATTACAGAAAAAGTGTTTTCATTTCAATTCGGTAGTGTTCTCCACTTATGCTAGTGATTTCAAAGTGTGTTCGGTTTCACAGTGAGCATTAATAAAAATATTTTTCTTTTACTTTAGCTGGCGTACTGTGTAGTTCAATTTTTAGAAAAGGACAGCACACTTACAGAACCAGTAAGTTTATCTTGCTATTTTTATATATTTTGGAATATTAATATCCCTTTCATCTGTAGACTATTTACAGAGGGTTTAGGAACAAAGTATTGATATGTAATTCTTTTTATTAGGAAGAGTCAAATACGTAACCATTTTGATCCATCAAATTCATTTCTTCAGCTGTTTTGAATGTCCAAAATGAATTAAAACAACCTTAAGAGTGTCCCTCTTAAAAACAGACCAGAATTTATTCTGCTTATTTTGTTCTGACTGACTGGATGTGACGTAGTTGATCCAGAAGCAGTTTAGTCAGAAATTAGCTTGCCTGAACTGTTGCTCTGTTGAGATTGATGTTGTGATGGAACACAGATTTCTGGCACACGGAGCTGCCTACTGATGCAAGGCTGTTGAGTCAGATCCGGTTCATGTCTACTGAGTTTGGACTATAGACAAAACCAGACTTTGGTCTGGCTGCACATAATTGCATAGATGAATACGATTAATTGTCCTCAATAGTATATAGTGTTTTGCCTCATTACACCTAATATTAAGTAGATAAGAATTAATATGTTTAATCACTAAGTAGCAATCAGTAAAATGCATTTTACTAGATTATAATCTAAAATGGCAAGTGGGATTCTTAAAACAAATAAAGTATATGCAGCTGAGCAAGAACTCTCTTCTAAATGGAGCTTTTAGTGGTTGGTAAGATCTCAAATCTCAGATGTTCTGTCATTTTCGTGCTGTATGAGATCTTGAAATCTTAACTTTCTTCCAGACATCAGCTAGGATTTTACATGTTTCCTAGTACAAGGCTGAACTAATACGCATCCAAGTCTGTTTCCCTTTTTGGTCCCAAATTAGTACATGATTACAACATTCTTTAAAAACTTAGCACATGCATCACTGAAGTATTAAGTTCCACTTCAAAAATTTTGGTCATTGCAAAATAAAATGCTTTGTTTCCCCTTATAATTGTCATACGAGACTTTTTGACTTCTTACTTTAAAAATCTGCATAAATTTCCTAAGGCTTTGTTGAGGACATAGTGTCTGCTTTCATGATTAAATAATATGTACATGAAAGATGCACTGATTTCTCCCGAAGTTGTCTTGTCAGTGATGATATTAAATATTGCTTATAGTTTTTAAATATAAAAAGTTGGACTTCCATAAAAATGTCCTCCATTTCAGAAAACAAGAGACTGCATTTTTTTTCCTAAATGAGAGAAAAAAATTGTTGTCTGAGAGAAAGGTTAATGGATTGCTGCAACTTTTAAACTGCATAAAAAGACAAATACAAACTTTAAGAGTTTTTTTTCAAGAGGTCTGTACTGTTTTGTGATGTTTTTTTCTCCAGTTCTACATGTAGGACTAGACAGACTCTATTGTATTTTTTGATCTTTATGTGGCTTTTTAATCTTTAACCACAAAACAAAAGCATTATAAAAGTATAAACTTACACGTTCAAGGTTGTATTAATTTCTCATTCAAAATATCTAACTTTAAGATTCAGTACTATGCCAGTCATTTTTAAGTATTTAGCATGGTTTAAATATCCTTTGAAGGAAAATGTCTTCCTATTTGAATATTGTTTGGCACCAAATTGCCACAGATGAAAAACAGTTTTCACAGTAAAAGAAGGGGGGGGGGGAAATTAAAATCTTACACTTTGGTTTCAAAACTGACATCTTTGGGGGGAAAAAATTCATCCTTTCATACCAAAAACATTCATGTCTACTTGCGTTTTCTTTGAATCAGAAATTGCTAACGGCACAAGAGTCGTTATTCCTTCAATATAACTTCATGTGGTTTTGAAGACTCTTGAATAAATTATGATGTAATGATGATGTAATTGATAACTCCACTAATAAATACAATGTCTAAATATATTGAACCGTTAAACTAGTATCTCTTTGCAGTCTTAAATTCTTCTACTTATATATTTAGTAGATTAAAGAATTTGATTTTTTAGTTAGACTTCAGAAACATTTCCCACAGATGTACAGACTCTTTCTGACGAGTTGTGAGCCAACTGGCAGATTACTTTTTCTGTCTCTTTTTTATGGATCCTTTAGTTGTCTTCTCCCTTCCTCTCTCCGCCTGCCTTTTCCTATCTTTTGAGTGTTCATGGTTTACTAGGCAAAAACTGCTTCAGCAAGCTGGATAAATAATTAAATAATTGTGAAGAAAGTTAAGACTGTGATTATAGTAATACAGTCAATTAAGTAAAAGTCAATGTTTAAGAGCAACATGCCTAGAGTAGTCGATCACCTGTCAATTTGAGTATTTATAGTAAATCTTTTCTTAAAATATGATAGAACTTTAATTTCTTGAGCTTTGGAGTACGCCTCCAAGAAATTAGAGATTGAAAGCAGCTGTCACTTAAGTGGCAAATAATTTTCCCCATAGTATAGCAGCAAATTTGCACTTTGATTTGGTGATCATGTTAAGTTAGATGTCAGATTACTTCCTCTAGTCTTTGTTATTTTTGAACATGTCTTCTAAGTGTATAACTTTGTTTTCTGAATAAGTGGGTTTTGACCTATTAATAGTTATTTCTGTGACACTGAACCATGTCTGATCTCTGCTGTCACATGGGAGAAGAAATCTGAGTTTTGCGTTCTGTATAAAATATCAGACTTCTTAATGAGACATAATTTAGTTCAAGGTAGAGTCAAATTATTGTGAAGGTCATGTTCACTTTCTCTCCACAGGTTGTAATGGCACTGCTGAAATACTGGCCAAAGACTCACAGTCCAAAAGAAGTCATGTTTTTAAATGAACTAGAAGAAATTTTAGATGTTATTGAACCATCTGAATTTGTAAAAGTTATGGAGCCTCTTTTCAGACAGCTAGCCAAATGTGTGTCCAGTCCACACTTTCAGGTCTGTACTTACTGAATGTGCAATAATATGAGGGTTTTTATAAAGCAGACTTGTTAATGATATTACCTACTATTATTTACCGTAATTAATTTTATTTGTTGCAAAAAAAAAAGTAGTCTTCAATTCTGTGTCAAATTTTAGGGACCTAAATGTTACTTTTATTGTTTCTTTTTAAGGATGCAGTATGTGCTTTTGTATTGGGTGATTCACTTCAGTGTTACGTTGAACATAAAAGCTTAAAAGCTCACTGGTCCCTTTCAGTACATAGTGTTTGCCTTTGACTGCTTGTAACAGAATTCTACAAATACTCTTTCTTTGGGAAAACATCTCTTTGCTTGAATTTTCGAGTTTGTAGGTTATAGTTTGAATCGTGTCCCTATCAAGGAAAAGCTATTTTTCCATTTCTCTTTCCATCAGCTCCATGACTCCCATTCACACTAGAAAAATCCAAATCTAAGTTGCAACTTTTCTTACCTTTGCCTTATATGTGCCAAACATTCCAATTATTTGCTCTTTAAGAAATTGTCTGAAGAAATATTCCTTTTTTCATGTCTTCTTAGGTTGCAGAGCGAGCATTATACTACTGGAATAATGAATATATTATGAGTTTAATTAGTGATAACGCAGCAAAGATTTTACCCATCATGTTTCCATCCTTGTACCGGAATTCAAAGACACATTGGAACAAGTAAGAAACACTTGTACAAGTAAAATTCTGGTACTTCACTTATGTTTAGTTTTAGGCTTAAAAGTAGTTCAGGTCTTTGAGTTGCTAGTTTTAACAGTATGTTGAACTGTTTATTCTATGACATTAAAGTTGCTCTATGAGGAGAAGATTACCATTGTTAAAATATTTTAGAAATATTAAGAACTGAGGAAGATAGTTTTTCCTTTCTTCATTAAACAAGAATCAGTGTTTTAGTGCATCTAATCCATGACATCATATTTTGATTAATATGAGGCAAATTTGGCATTAATCTGTAGTTCAGATGCTTCTAAAGACTAACTTTGATTTCTGATCTCTAACCTCTTTGCTGTTTTGCATTTCTTCTGCATTCTAATGGAACATGTAGATCAGGTCATTTTTAACTTTCCTTTCTTTTATTTTTTTTCTTTTGGTTTATTTTTTTCTCTTCTTTCTCCATTGACTATTTTCACTTTTTTCCCCACAATAACATAGTACTTACACATGAAAACAGTCCTGGCCAGCTCCTTTCTGCAGCTGTTCCATTGTAAAGTGCCTCTTTGTTTGAGCTGTTGTTGAGCTGCTGGGATGGTGAAAGTATCACAGTCGAGCGCTGGCCATGATTTGAGGACTGCTGAGGGGTTGGCCAAGAATGAGTAATCGATCTGCCACTGAACACAGGAAAAGAAATGAAAAATAAAGTGACGTTAAAGTGATTGGTTACTGTCACTGGATGTAAGCAGTAACAAATGATGTACTCATTAATAAAATTCTGATTCAGTGATGCAATTGCACATAGTAAATGTGGATTGTTGTTGGTTGTTTTTTCTGGTTTTCAAGGCCGTGCATTCATTTTATTCTGAGCAGAAGTCATGCTACCCAGTACAGCTGCACTCTGACTCGTAACTCACATGTGTGATGCAAAGTAGTCATTTAACTGATTGCTTTTTGGATTTGATGATCAGTAATAGATTACAGACTGGAACTGTAAATTACTCAGTAAAAACTGCTTCATAAAGCAGATTATTTTTGTTTAGTTTTTCTGATGTTTTACACTTTGCTTTTGTAACACTTCTAGAGTCCTGGCATAATTGTGTTGAAGTGAGTGCTGTTTGCTGTATAGCGGTTTTCAAAATGAATGGAGTCTTTTCTAGGCTCTTTTTAATCACTAACTTTAGGTTTTTCTGGAATTTGTCAGTTGCCAGTAAGTTACTTGTATCAAGATCTTTAATGTCATCTTGCATTTTCTCTAATAACCATAGTTTGATTAATGTCAGCTACTAAATTTCAAAACTAGTCCTGTATTGATACACATAGTATTAAAAATGAAGTTCAGACATCAAAAGTGGCAAGTAGTACTATGGAGTAAGAAAAACACATTCAAAGTTGGTAATTTTAGTACTTGTATTAGCCCTTTTGAGGGTAAACTGAAACTTCCGCTAACTAGTTTTGTTTCCACTTATTCTGAAATGATGTAATTTTCCAGTTATGTAGGCTATTGGCTACTGTTGACCAGAAAAAATAGATTTCAAAGTTTAAAGTACTCTGAGTTTCAACCAGAAGTTTTACTTATAGGACAATACATGGCTTGATATACAATGCTCTGAAACTCTTCATGGAGATGAACCAAAAACTGTTCGATGACTGCACACAACAATTTAAAGCAGAAAAACTGAAGTAAGTTTTCATGTCAGTGTGTCTGTCTGTTCTTGAATAATTTGTTCAGAGTGCTTTAGCTCTTAAAACCTACTGTGTCTTTAGTGGGAAGCTGCCCATTTGATTACAGTATAGCTGTCTCAAAATGGACTGGGTGAAACTTCTTGTTATATATGAATTTTAAAATCTTCTTGATAAGATGCTTCATGTAGTCTTTGACCTAATACTGCTGAGGGTCACCATCTTCCTAAAAATTAATGCGAGAGGGACACTGCTAATCATGGAGCCCAGTGTAAAAGATCTGTTAAACAGTTTAGTTTACATTCTGTGTTTATTTTAGCATACTTTATTTCCCCAGTACTATTTTCTTTCATGTTGTCACTCAGTTCTTCCCAAAACAATTTTACAGTATTTTTCAGCATTGCATTGTGTGTGAGCACATGTGCATGCTTTTCTAAAAGTTACCTGAGATCAAGTTGTCACTGTGGTGTAATATGGGATGTCCGTACATTATTTGCCAGAAGAAACCCGATGAGTTTAGTATATTCTTGCATAGGCCAGTGAACAGAGCAGGGAATTGGAAGCTAGAATTTTTCTGGTTTATGCCCACAAATACAGCTAACTTTTACGATCATAAAGTCACTCAATCTTCTCTGTTCCTCTATTTCCAATTTTGTTAGATATAATTTTGTGAATATTAAGTATATTTTAAAGCCTGCTGAAGTGAGATTGAAACATCCCCAGCCTGTTTTAGGGACTGGGGAGCATAGTTAGAAAGTGGGTACTGAAAATACCTGGATTTCAATTTTATTTTTAATTTCAAAGTGAACAGGGATTCCTGTGAGTAGTGGTTCAAATTACACACTTATTTTAAATCAATATACTGGAAGTAATGCAGACTCTTAATGTACATTAATTTATCCAAGTTTTGAAATTCCTTATTACAATTTAAGTAAAAATGAGCTTGTAGTATAACTTTTTTTAAAATATATGTGTGTATGTAGATAACAAAATGTGAACATTTGCTTTTTTAAAAAACTCTGTGTACATCTCTTCCTTCATAGCAAATAAGTAGAATCCCTTTCAAATGAGAAAACAGTCTTTTCTGTTTTGTTTGTTTGTGGGGTTTTTGTGGCAATTTGTTTGAGTACAGATTAAGGCAGGCTGAGTGGCATAATAACAAAACAAACTTCCCTCCAAAAATCCCCCACCATATAAAAACTTAAAAGGGGGTGGTTAAAGAGTTCTTCCACCCCAGCCTGAACTTAACTTAATAGAGAGATGGAGGAAAATTGTGTATATATTAGCATATAACTGCTAATATATACACATATAAATATATGTGTGTATATTTATATATGTATACACACACAAAATATTTTTTTTTTAAGTTTGGATCATCTGCTCTATGCATTGAAGCCTGAGAGCACTCTTAAGTTCAAAGCCTTTTTAAACTCCACCACCTTTCAAAGACAGGTGTCTGCAAGAAGTTGTTTTCTGCAAGAAGGAAAGGGAAAAAAAGCACACTAGATTTTATCGGTTTTTAATTACACTGGGCATAAGGAAACAATTAATTTAAAAAAAAAAAAAGGCATTCCATGTTGTCCCTCTTGGCTTGTCACTGCCTTGAATGAGTGTGTTTTTGTCAGGTAGTTCTCTGTTAGTGTTTAATTCAAAATGTCTCTGGGCCTTTTACTTCAAACTATTAACTGACGCCATTGGACGGGCAATGAGAATCCCTGCTCTTTTTTATGGTCAGATATTAGTTTCTTATCTTTCAATATAGAATTCAAATATGATAAAGTTAAAACGCAAACACACTTCAACGTAGATCAAGACTTTCTTCTGGTTTAATTGTAACCCTTTTTATCATGTACGGTTATAAAAGATGAACTGGTAACAGCCAGGTTGTAGCTTCATGAGAAAATAATTTCCCCCTGCAATGTTGCTTTGAGATCATGGGGTTTTGATATGGTGCAAATTGTCATGTCAACAGTGATATTTTGGGCCATAAGCTGAAACAGGCATAGCGAAGTAATTGATTATGTTGAAATTTTCTAGTGAATTTCTTCATGTATAAGAAAGTAAACAAGTCGTGATGCAAGATCCACCAAGCTGCTTTTGCCATTTTTGCTTTTAAACTTATTTTTTTTCAGAGAGAAGCTAAAATTGAAGGAACGGGAAGAAGCATGGGTTAAAATAGAAAATCTAGCCAAATCAAATCCCCAGGTATTTAGAAAAGATTAACATGTTCATGTTTAAATACTTTAGTTTTGTTAAATATCAGTGGGGAAACAGGTCTGACTGATCGTGAAAATAAAGCAATTTCACTACTTGTATTATGAAAGATATACAATAAAAGTACTTTTAAAATTTGTAACCTTTCTCTTGTGCAAGTAATTATTTTTTTCAAAAGGTTTCTGAGAAGTATGATGTGAAGTACTTTTTCCTTTTCTTATAATAGGAGATATACTGTATTGTGGTTTGAAAAGTTACTGTGCAAAATTATGTAAAATATAGAGATGCCATAATTGGTTTCTCTTGAAAAGCTGTTTTGCGAACAGTATATTACAAAAGAGATCTTTCTGCAAACTGTGAGTTATGACTGGTCAGTTTTCCTCTGTGTCAAATGGATTAAAAGAATATTGTACATTCCTGTCTGCTGCATTTCTTCTCATATGGGCCTTGGGCCGGTCTTCTGGTGAACCTGCACCTCAGGTTCTTAATAAAAGTAAAACATCCTGTCAGGCATTGCTTGATGTAACTGATATTTTGATAAAGAAATAAAAGCTCCTTTAGACTATTCATTATATTTGGAAATTATGGGAAAAGAGGATGGTTTGGCTTGGGCTTCCCCCCCACCTCCCCTACTTGCTTTGCTTGGAAAATGCTGCGGTTTTCTGTTACCTCAATCATACTGGTTGCTGCTATGGGGGGAAAAAAAACCCAACCATTTCAATTACTTTGTAGCCAGAATTTTACTATACTGCAGCAAGAAAATAATTGTACTGTATCTTTCCAACATCCTCTGTCTGAGTTGAAAGTGGTGGAAGATGCGAGTAATGGTACTCTATAAGCAGAAGTGGGACACTTTATGATCTCAGTGCTATTTTAAAACAGAAGGTATCTTTTTTTCTAAGGAGAAGGAAATTCATAAGTGTTGTTTTCCTCTTCTGACATTTCTCAGGGAACATTACTAAACTGCTCAAAATTTGTTAAAGTTAAACAATATGTCCGTTGACAACAGATCAGTTAAATTAATCAAAAAAGAACCATTTGTATGAAAGCAGCAATTGACTTTCAGTGACAAAACATTCCTCTAATCACCTGAGCCATGCAAAAACCTTGCTGGAAGTGTATGTGATATACGTGGTCATTTGCTATCACAAATTATGAACTATTGCTTGTCTGTCTAAATAAGGGGATTGACTCGTAGTAGTAAAATTTAGAGTTCTACAGTGTAAATATCCTTTTCTTCCTAAGTAATTTTTTGGAACTATGTACGTTTTCTGAAACTAGTTGAAGCAACCTGTATACAGTATATTCTGCACAGTATGCTTGAAGAGAGCTAATAATTGGAAGCAATTTAAAACAAAAATTATTAAATTGAACACTGAGTGCTCCACTGAATTGATGTAATAATAGAAATGCTTTTAGCACTCTGTGTAATGGATTTTTAAGGTGGCTTTTTTCCTGGAATTTCTATTAACTTTTTAATTTGTCTAATTACTGACAGTTCTTGTTGTTCAGAGCTATTCCTGACTCTCCATGACACAAGAATACATTTTAAGATTTTTAGATCATGATAATTATATTTGTTAAATCCTTGCTGCCAGTTTTTCTCTCTCTTGTTTGATCTGCATTAAGTTACTGGTGCGCTCAGATACTAAAGTATCTGAGGAAAAATGGATTTAAAAGTGGGTGTGTTTGTAAATGAGCTTTGATTTCAAGACCATATACACCTCATCTGAATTAAAATAGAATTTAAAATACTGAGATACAGGAAGCTTTACATACTAGACAAGTGTTTCTACAAGATGGTTTTTGTTCCCAAAAGACACTTATGACTGTTTTAATTTCTCAAGACAGAAAAGTTTAATACTTTGTTTTGAAATTATTTTAAATGTATATTAACCATATTTGGCCTTTTAACAGTGTATTTTCTCTTCCAACACAAAATTGCACCAGAAAGTAAAATCATTGTGTTTGAGTTGCTACACTGTTTAACAACTCACTAGACAGTGTATTAATAAGGTTTCAGATGAGTGATTGCCAAAGTAGACATTCAATATCGGCAAAATCTGAGTATTTTGAAATTCGGTCTCAGATAATCAAAGCATATTTTTTATATTCTGACTGTACTTTTCAACAGGACATTTCTGCCAAATGAAAGTATTGGAGTTCCATTTTAGAATTTATTACTTGGTGCCTGGAAGCATAAGATATTGAAGCTAATCTCAAATAACTAATCATAGCATTCAAATACACTCTTAGTATTTAAGTATTACTGCTAAGAATGATTATTTTAACACTTTGCATTTTATTAGTACCCAACATACAGTGACACGAGTTCGCTGAACAGTCCTGTTGCAATGGAAACAGATGGACCTTTAATTGAAGATTTGCAGATGCTGAAAAAGACAGTGAAAGAAGAGGCTTGTCAGGTAAAGCCATGTGAAGATAACAACATACTCTAAATTATTAATAATTTTTTTTAAGGAGATTGTTAATTGTGGACATAAACTTAGGTTATATTTTCAGCCCTGTAACCATTTATCCTAGAGTAATAAACTTAATTAGAGGTGCTACTTCTAAGTGATACTGCAGCAGCCAGGAATACAGTGTTCTGTTTCTAATGCCTATGAATCTGCTGTCTAGTCTCTTTTGACTTTTCTTCTACAGAAGCTTCCATTTTATTTTCACTTAGAAAGAGCTTTTTGTCATGATGGGAACAACGATTATGCTTTAAGGCTAGTTAAAAATATGGCTAAAATCTACCACATCGTGTTCTGTTCTCTATATAACAGTTTTGGTTTTTCATAAGGAAAACTTTTATAAAACATAGTCAGATTCCAGTGATGACATTTTTGTTTGTTTGCTGTTCAGAGCCTTCTTAGTGGCTAAAGCTACTGTGTTTTGAAAAAATGTGTAAAGTATGCATTTGCCTTGCCCACTCATGGGTCGTCTTCCTCAGTCCACCATCTGTCATGGTCCATTACCTACTGCAGGGCAAGGACTGTCAAGGACATTCCAGTCTTTTTGTCTTTAGCTGATGTTTAGTGATCTTCAGATATTTTCAATTTAACTTCAGTTAAGTGGAACAAGAATCCTGACATTCAAACTAGAGATTTAAACTTGGAGCTGATGGAAGATGGAGAGGTGCCAGGGAGCATTGCAATATCACTAAGATGTCTGGTAGGAGTATCAGTAACATGAATATCTCTAAATCCAGCGAAGTTAAAACCAGAGAAAGGGACCTGGAGCTGAAAACTAGTTGAGAACGGAGATAAAGTCTGTTAATTTGAACCAACATATCAAACAAGAAATTTAATGAAAATAAGCATATGGTCAAGCTAACGTCCCACATTACTCTTAAAATTCTAGTGTCATCTTGCAAGATTATATTTTATTTATTATTTTTCCTATAAAATTTTGGATAAAAGTCAAAATTGAAAGACATGCTGCAATACCTCCAAGAGGTATTGCTCAGTGATTGCTGTTTTTTAAACACTTATCTCTGGATGCATTACATGTAAATCTTGGTGGTTGAATTACATGCCTATCCAGGGCAGTGAATGAGAGTAGCATTCCCCTGAGTGGGAATGCTGGTTAGAGCTAATCAGTGAGGAGCACTGGGCTTATTAGAGTATTAAAAACCTCAGCCTTGCTTCAGACCTTGGATACCTTAGCCAGGCACACGTGATGGGGAAAGGGTCCTCCTTTCAGTAGGTCCAGACGCTAGAACAAGTTCTGTTGGAGAAAGGTACATATGAGATTATTGAAAAAAATGAGTACTGCTTAATCTTAAGGGTTGTGTCCATCTTTACTATGCTGCATCATAGCGCATAACCATTTTGTCAAGATTTATGAGACCTTCGTTCACTTTCCATCCTGGCCAGGGGGAATTCAAACTCCTATCTTCTAACTCTGAGTGCTCTAACGTTAGTTCTATAAGAAAAGCAGCAAAAGTTGGCTATATACTACTAGTTGGAATAAGCAGTTAAGAATAAAGCTCCCAGTCCCAGCTGCTGGAAGTGTCTGGGGATTTGGGCCAGTATTATGCAATATAAAATGCTCAAAAAGTAATGCCAGTCCAAACTAAAACCCAGGACTCTATCTAGGTCTTACCTTCTCTTCCACAAAGAATTGAACTTCAAGAGCTATCATGTAGGGGCTATGTACAGCTTCATTGATACCGTTCCAGCTGGAAAATTAGTGCATCACATTTGTATGGATGAGCTTGATTTCACTCACCTCCCTGCCCCAATTTTTAGAAAGAGTGGGGATTTAAAAAGTTATGCTAATAGAAAAGAAACAAACTGTAAACTAAACAAAATTCTGAAACTTGGGTTGGAACTGTTTTAAGCATTCTTTAGCCGTCTCTCCAAGTGCATGCTTTCCTCCTTTTCTTGCTCAGAAAGTGTTCAAGTAGTAAATGAGGCGATTAGAAGGCTATAAGCCTGTTTTTCAAAGATAAAGATCCTGTCCTAGCAGAGCTAATAGAATGGTTTGAAACAGGAATTCTTAGTATCAGAAAAACTTAAATCTATGAGAAGTACAAAGCTTGCAAGAGAATTGATAAGTCTGAGTCAGCAGGCAGGAAAAGGATTGATTAAAAATTAGGGCATTGCAGAGAGAAAGCTAGGGAGCATTCTTGTATCAGTCTTGGAGAGGACACTGGAAAGACAGTTAAGTATCCATTGCTAAGGACCTGATCAGAAACTGATGCTAAAACAAGAGGTATTACAGTTATCAGTTAAAAATAAAGAAATAAAAAAATAAAAAGGCAAGTCAAAAGGACAGCTTAGTTTATTTTTTTAAATAAAACTTCAGAAATGAGGAACTATGTAAAGATCTATACCGTTTCAGTGAAAGTAAGGTTTATGCCAGAGGTTAGCATACTGAAGAGGTGAGGGAATGACCGAGGAAAGTAGACCAGGAATTTCTTTCTGTACTAGACTATATGAGCGTTTTTAGTGAATACTTTTGCTAAAATAAAATTTGACCACCATGACTTAGTAATTTTTTTAACATGCTAGTAAATCAATGGCTAAGTAAAAGCCAATCAGTTTTAATAAAGACTTTTTAATAGAAGAACATGAATAAATTTCATTGATCTGATAGACATATTAGGGTAGATGAGACAGACGTGGGAACTATATAAAGACACCATTATATAGTTTAAAGGTGCTTTCATAGGAATAGTGTCTGATTTTGAGAGAGCATCAGTAAAATAATACACTGGAACCTTAAATTTTCAGATATTTGAATAGTGCAAGTAAGTAATTAGAAGCATGAAAAAAAATCATTCATCTTGCATGTAGAGACATACAAAATGAAAAATAAGTGAGAAGATAGATGATCATTTTATTTTCAAAATGTTACCAAGTTATAATTGTGGTAGTAATGATTGTTAACAGCTTGGAATTTGTTAGTTGTTCCTGATTTTTTCCTCTTAGCAAAAAAATGTTTTCAAGACTTGAAACTGGGTAGCTGGTGGGGTAAAGATGAGAAAGGATAAACTTTTTCCCATAAATGAACATACTGATGTGCAAGAAATATTTTTAAATAGCTGTTTAGTGACAAATATTTTTGGCCAACTTTGTTCTATTTTTATTTCAGGCACAGAAAGATCAGAAAAAAGATCGTCCTCTTGTGCGACGCAAGTCAGAACTGCCTCAGGATATCTATACCATGAAAGCCTTGGAATCACATTGCAGAGCTGATGAATTAATATCACATGATGGGCATTAAACTTTTACAGTGAAATACTATTTTGGAGGAAAAGTGTTTGGTTTTTTTCTGGACTCAGTTCTACAGTAGAACTTACTTTTTTGTGCCATACCAATCAGTTACACACAAAGTCAAAGCTTTCTTCAACCCAGTTCTGTAGGCAATAAATAGAGTATGCAGCTCAAGATTAGTAGTTCAAACAATGGTAAATTACCCAATTCCATATGCAGAATATTGGGTTGACTATAATCAAGTGGACGCAATTTCCTGGAGGTGTTATCATAGTACCAGCTAGCTGATAACATCCAGTTTTTATAGTCAGTTTCAGAAGAGCATTCTATAAACTCTTTCCATCTAAGTGAATGACCAGTAGTTGGTACTAATGATAAATGTGTTTTCAAAAGTAAAGTTATTTCAAATTTAAGTATTAAACTTTTTCTAGGATTTCTCAACTTTACAGCTGTTTCCACGTTATTGCTGTCTTGTAATATACCAGCAGTTTTGAAAGTACACAGTTGTTCTTTCGTATTCTAAAACACAGCTTACAAACTGGTAACTTTCATGACAATCCTCAATCATCATTCCTTTCTAAGAATTCTGTAAATTTTTTTCTCCTTTAGTTAGGATAAAGATACATATCTATATATACCATGTCCTGATACTTTATGTATATTTAAAGCCATATTTTCCAGTCTCTAGTGTATAATACGGCACCAGTATTCCAGATATGAACTGGTAGAAGAATTTTTCCTAAAATGAACATTTGTTTACTATGACTGGGAATAGACTGAATATAAAATCTCATTTTAAGTTTTTTCAAGTCAATAAAATACTCTTTCACTGTTTTGTCCCTTATCTGAGCTTTTAATACTCAGCATTTTTCTTGGGCTCTAGGAGTTCAGTATTCTGTGGCAGATATTACGCGTGATTTCAGTTGCTTCAGTTTTTATCTGGAAGATGAACATAACCTTTCAGGAAACACAACATTACGAGCTTATTAAAACAAGCAAAAGAACAGACTTTAGAATTCCATTCTGCTTCTTTTTGGATGAGTCTAAGAGCTGAGGAGATAGTGACCATAATTTTACCGTGAAAATATTTTTTGTTGTTGTTGTAAAGAGCACATGTGCTGCAAATACACCTCACAAGTGAACTGAAAATGCATCCGAGTTGCTGATGATCTTCAAATGCTGCTATATATTCCACAAGATTACTTGCATGTAATGAGCTTTTTGTTGTAGATGGAAAAGCACGGGAGGAAAATCTCTTTAAAAATATAGTGCTTTGTCTTCAATATTTGATTTCTCTCAGGGTGGCCAGTATTTTGACTTACTTATCCTGCTTACAAGCTGTTTGAAAGGTGTTCTGCTATTCTAAATGGGTGATTAGTTTCTTTTGTCTCTGGCAGTAACATGATATAACTTAATGTTTAATGTCTTGATGCATAAAGAGATAAAAACGTGGCTTCTTTAAAAATAGTTTTGTTTTACTTTTTAAGGAAGTATAACGTCTCCTGCATCCATTGAAAAGAAAAAAAAATCGCAAAGCAGACATTCATAGTAACCTTGTGCAGATGTAGTGCCTGCTGTTTGTTGGTTGCATTTAACATTCAATTTCCAATATTTGTTACGTTGTCTATTGGAAGAAAATTGTGGGTGGTAAATATTGGCTTACAACACCTAAATTTAAAGACCAACCCAACCTTTAAGTGGAATGTCCACTGTGTCTGAAAACATTTCCTGTAAAACTTGAAAAAGAATATGCTTTACCATTAGGATAAACTATATTAAAACAGTTTAAAGATGCCTTCTCCTTTTGAGGGAAAAAGGGTGCTTTTTTAATTGTGTAAAGCAATGTCTATGTTTTTTGATATACCATTGTTTGAACTTCCATCTTTAGCTGGTAGATAATCAGTTACCTTTGATTTTGGGTGTTCAGTATGTTTGTGCAAGAGGTTGCTGAAAGAAATTGTTACCCAAGGGGGAAAAAAAAAACAACCTGTGTATCAATGTTTGATTGATTGTGTGATGCTCAATGTATAAGAACATCTTTCACTGTCTAGATTTTATTTCTGTTCTTTATTGAAGATAAACACTCACCAAAAAGGGAAATGATATTTTTAAAGGCTTAAAGTTCACCGTTTATGCCACTGAACATTTGCTTAGGCAATATTCCAAAATCTATCACCACTAATGGTTTAGCATGTTTATTATCAATATTTATATACTACTTATATTCTGTACTAAACCATTCTAAAACTAATACATCCAAAATAAAAAGAAATAAAAATTTTGGTGACTGTTGTTCTTCATAAAGTTCTGTGTCTGACACCTTCCCTCATTTTCCAAAATTACACCTGTACATCAGGAATGTCAAAAGTAATATTACAAGTGTCTTTTTAGTGTGGCTTTAGTATGGCTTCATTTTAATATTGTACATACATTGTACCTTGTTTTATGGTAATAAGTAATAAAAATGTAGACTTCATATTTTGTACAGAATCGTCCTATGTACAGAATAAAAAGTTCCTAGAAACAGCAAAAATAGGTAAGTGGCACAATTATTTTTCATTAGACAATATCTGTAACATTATGTGTTAGTGGAATGTTAAGTTCAAATGTACCTACGTATTTTTTAACATTTTGTAATTCAACTTTTTGTTCTGGCATTGTTTCTGAAGAACTTCATACACCGGCCATTTAATATGCTTTTATCTAATTTTAAAACTTTAAAAAAAAATGGTGTATTATATGGACAAATAAAGAACATGTGAATTTTACTTGCTCATCATGAAGCTAAATTTAGCACAGGGCATTTGGGGGTGTGTTCAGATTATCATTGTTTGCAGAATCAGCTGTACAAATGAAAATAGTTGCATACATTTCACAAAAGAAAAAAAAAATATGGAAAGGCCATTAGTAAAAAAACAGGAATAATGGATATTCAGTAGGAAAAGCAGACTTTTAGAACAACTATCAGTACTGGAAGGAATTTGATAAATCTCCAGTCTACGAATATGAAAGACTCGCCTTTCATACCATAGGATTTTCCTCTGTAACACTTCTATATTGACAGGCTTCAAGCAAAGTAGCCATAAAATTAGAGATTATAGTTTGGTAGGTGGTACCTGGTCAGGTGGCAAGGTTGTAGGAAAACACAAGTTTGCCATAGGAATTGTCTTCCCTCTGGAATCCATAAGAGTCTTCAAAAGAACTAAGGAAATTACATAAAGCTGAATTTCAGTAAGTGGTGGGTTGGGGGAGGGCGGGGGGCAGTTGGGATTGTAAACCTGGGATCTATCCAAGTACTGGCTTTAGGT